TTTGTTTCATCAGCACGTCAGTTAGCAGATATTTTCACTAAAGCTCTTGATCTAAACACGTTTTTAAACTTAAGAAAAGCGATTGGAGTTTGTGAAGCTTGAGCAGCTCGGGCTATGAGGGTTGAACATGTTCGAAGTATCTATGTACAGAGAGACTATCAAGGAGTTTTCGCACAATTTTTGTAAAAACCTCATGTTGGCAAGTCAGTCGTAAAGAGGGCTACTCATCATGCAGTGGTAAGTCAAGATTACTTTGGGAGTTTAAACTGAGAGACAGTTTCAATACGCTCTTGGATATGGATGACACAACATTTATAGCTAAGCTTGGTCAGTATTGAACTGTTTAAGAATGAAGGATACTCAGCTTGGACCTGGACGCAACAACGTTTATGTCTTGGCTGATCACTATCTGAACTTAGAAGGTAAAAGCAGAGTTACAAGTAAAAGAAAGGTTCTCTAAAGGTGGTAGAAAAGGAAAAAAAACATGATGTTAAGGAGATTAGTGAAGAAAAAAAAATGATGTGAAGGTGATTATTTGAAAAAAGGGGAGTAATATAAGAAGAAGTGTTGAATATGATGATGACACTAAAGGAGAGCCTCTCAGCAGGATAAACAATCTCGTTGGATTTAGGTACAAAAATACTTGAACACTGACTGAGATCAATGTTTTGATTGGGTTTTACTTGGAAAGTCTGTCTTTTATCTGGTCATGGTTAGAAGTAATGTACTTCGTGTGTATGATGATGTGAAGACTAGTGCGTTTTGATCGAAGTGATGAAAGCTATCGCAGATAGCCATTGCAGAGAGCCAATGGGTTGATGTTTTATTTTGGTATTCACTAACAATATACTCCTTGATGATTCTCTGTTACATGATACTGGAAAATGTTGAATCCTCCTCTAGCCAAGCCTGCACAAGTGTGTAAATAAGTGAGTTAATTTTGTATTTAATGAAGTTTTTTTGTGCTGATGAAACTCACTCTTCTCGCCAAGTTCTTAATAACATGCATACTCTTGTACAAGCTTTTTTCATCTAAGGCATAATGGGCTCTGTTTTATCTTATTTGGGTTAATTGTGTAACACTAATGGGCCAAGTGTGTGAAGTGTGTATTTAAAAACTAACCCTAGGTCAATGGTGAAACACGCCGTTACCCCAAAGTTGAGATCTCCATTTGCGGATGAGTGAAAATCTCCGACCAAGAACTTGAGCTCAAATCATGGCTTCGCTGCTTCGGAAAATTTCTCGAAATCCAACTACCCCATCCCCAGAGAAGCTGCAACGATCGAAGGCAGGTGAATCTGAAGGCACTTCGCGCAACCGGGTTCGTCGCCTTAAAGCTCATCGGAAGAAAAACACGGCAACAATTGAAGAAATCTTTCCGGATCAGTCCTCGAACATGGTTTCTGAGGTAGCCGCTGATAGTCAAGATGAAGAAGAGCCACCAGCAATCGACATGCACGAGCAAAGTGAGGACGAAAATGATGAGGATGAACCTGAGCTAATGGAAACCAATGCAAGAGAGGAGTTTGTCTATGAGGAACTAGAAACGCGTCTACAACAGCTCAGAGCTCAGTACCAAGCACTTCTCACAGCCACTCCTGGTTTGGAAAACTCAAAGCGTCCACCGTTTAATGGAACGTTCTACCGAGCCATAGGGGGTAAGAGGTATGAGTGTTTGTTGTCTCAAACCATTCTAGGAGAAAAGATTCTGCCTTTAGGTGATGAGAAACTCATGGAAGCTAGAAGTATCATTGACAAGGCTGGATTGATGTATATGGTTCTAGATCTGCCTTGTTTTACTCGTGAAGTGGTGTTGGGGTTCTATGCCAATTTAGGAAACATGATCAAGAGAGATGGTACCACTTGGGTGTTTGTGAGAAATCACATGTACGAGTTCTCTCCCTCCGTAATCAATAGAATCTTCAAAATGACAGCTCAACCTGTTGATTTCCCTCGCAAACCATGGGTCATTGAGAGTCTTGATCAAGCTGTGGAGACTATGACTGGAGGAAAGAAGAAGAAATGGGGCAACCTCAGTATGCTAGATATAACTCCGGCTATGAACATCATGTTCAAGTTCTGTGTGTACAATTGGATTCCTACGGAAAATCGATCAACACTGACAATAGATCGAATCAAGTTTATTCATATGATCTCCGAAGGAAGACAATTTGATTTTGGAGTCATGGTGTATGATCAGATCTTTGAGTTGAGTCAACAAGCAGTGTCAGGCAAAACAAAGAAGTTGCTTTTTCCTGGTCTTATTCAGCACCTGCTTCAGTCTCAGCACCCCATACCTTTTGATCCCGAAGACTCTGATCTCACTGAGCTTGGAAAGATGATACTTAATGGAAAACAGGGTCTTCTGAAAAAACCTCCAGGAACTGCTCCTAGGCGCTCGTTATCAAAGGATCTTGGAAATGTGTATCGTCAGTTTGACAACATCATCAAAAGATCTGCAAGTAAGTACTCTTCGTTCTCCTGTTTCAATCTTGTTTATATAACTTGGTTTTTAAGTGTCTATGCCACCAAGCAGGGGGAGATTATGGGGATTTATCTAATCTAGGTGATAGCAACAGTGATGAAGATGACGACAACGATGGTGGTGACAGCCATAGCGAGGAGTTCTAAGTTCAAGGGGGAGACTTAGATTTTCTAGTTTTTATAAAGATGCAGTAGTGAGGGGGAGTTGTTTTTGATTAGGTTTTTGAACTCAGGGGGAGTTTGTTTTTTTTCTTTGGTAGCTACGGTTAAGTTGGGGGTTGTTTTTCTTAGCTTTGATGTACGATGGGTCTGGCATGGATGATGGTGTTGTGGTTCTAAGACAATCGTATGAATGAATGATATGGTTTTTTAGTTACTAACCCGAGTATCTTAACTATGATTCTCTCCATATTTGGTTGCTATTTAGTGGTTTTTGTCACAGGTACTTGGTGAAATTAGACAGGTGCTTGGTGATGATAGTCACTTAAAAAGGGGGAGATTGTTGGGACCTGAAACTTGGAGAAGCGTTCAACAAAGTGTGAAGTTGCTTGAGTTGAAGTTTGAGGCGGGAAGTGTTTCAAATGCTCGTAATGACGTGGCAAGTGAAGACTTATCTTCTAATAAGATAAACATAAAGCTGAGAGATTCTAAGAAAATCGTCAAACCAAAGAAAGAGTTCGCCCTAATACTCTCTCTGGTCCAAATATCGAGGAGCCGTCGATCTTAAGCTCTCTCGACACCGGTGAGGCTTCAGGCCGCCGGCGTCGGGACCTCTGTTCCTCCACTCGTTCCTGGCCATCTTCCGCTCGATCTGCCATCGTTTGTTTCAGTTCTTTCCTCTTCGGTGGCTCTCTCGGTGGGGGCTCTCCTCCGAGTCCATCTCTTGCCGTGAGAAGAAGAGCCCAGTGTTTCCGCTTCGGTGTCTGTGCCACCGGACCCGTACCTTTCGGGGTTTCTCCCCACCTCTCCGTAGTTCCTGTCAACAGCGGCGTCTCGAATCCTTTCAGTCTCTCGGCTCACGTCAGAGTTTCACCTCGGCGGAAACTTGTTGCAGTGAGTCGACGTCCTTATATGTCACTCTACAGATCTAATCTCACTGGATCTGACCTTTTATGGGGGGTTCCCCAACCCGACGAGCTTCTCGCCGGTCACAGTTCACCAATATCGCCTTGCTGCTACTTTTTCCTCTCCCCCAACGCGTTCCATTCACTCGGAGCTGCGCCTCACCATCCAGATCTGCCACCAACTTCTCCGCCTACACTCTCCTTCCTATCGCGGAAGATCTCCTTTCCTCACCGGAGTAGGATGAGCTTTATCTTTTTATCTCCGCCGTATCTCATCTCGCCATCAATTGGTCGGAGTTCTCAAGCTTTGAACTTCCCCTCACCAGACCTGTTCCGACTGCTCAACCGTCGCCGCACTTCCTTGAACGTCCTCGCACTTTCCCGACGTTCTCAGGTCTCTCATTCTCCTGGGCTGGGCTTCAATACTTTGAGAATGGGCTTGGTGAGCCCAGTGAATGTCAATAATCATTTGCCCAGTCTAATAGCTTCACAGCCCATAGTGTTATGGGGGTTATTAGTCTCCTTTACTAATCACCTAAAGGTCACCGAAGCAGCTATACATAAATTGCTTTACCTCTCTTTTGCGAAGAGTTTACTATGTATCCTACCGGTGGGTTCACCGTCATCATCACTATCATCCTTCTCTTTGGTGATTTCATCCACCATAAGGAGTGTTTTCTTTCCAAACGTTAAATGGAAATGTCCATCCATATCTATAACCATTTTGTTATCTTATGTACCGGTTCGTTTGGGGCCTGAAGATGCAACGGATTTTTTTTTGCAAATATTCTGAGGTGCAGATTGGATGTCAACGTCACATCTTAATGCGACTAAATCTCAAGTTTCCGACAGTGTCGGGAGTCTTGCTTTGACGCATTCGAGTCCTACTCTGAATTCGCTGTCTCTCTATCTTAGAGTCCTAGCTTTATCTTATGAATTAGAATAGAAGATAAAAAAAATAAAGCTGAGAGATTCTAGGAATTAGAATAGAAGATTTGATGTTATCTTAGATTAGAAGATATCAGCTCGTCTAGGTCTATAATAGACGAGGCTGATGATTTAGAACTTTTACGGTTTTTAGAGTTTTGACAACGAGAGCATAAATTGTTTTGAGTCTCATGTGTTTGAAGTTGTTCAGTGTTGATTCACAAGTTTGTGAAGTCAAGTAAACCTGATTAAACAAGTTAGTGTGTAATTTGTTTAAAGAACTTCAATAAAGGTGTTCAGTTTGGAATCTTTGTGATTATATCTGTGCTATAGGTTTTTCAAAAGTATGGATTTTTTTTAGTTTATTAATAAATGTAGGGACGAGATTAAATCCCGAGGAATACTTTAAAGAACTTCCCCAAAAATGGCGCGCTTTAAACCGAACAAAAAAAATTAAAAAGGCAGAAAGGCTAAGAAGATCTCTGTTTTTAATATTTCAAACACAGAAAAGAACTGAAAGAAGAATGAGTGGTGAAGAAGAAAAGACGATATGTGTGACAGGAGCTTCAGGTTACATTGCTTCATTGATCGTCAAGCTTCTTCATCTCCGTGGCTACACCGTTAAAGCCTCTGTCCGCGATCCAAGTCAGTCTCTTTTCTCTCTCTACAAACATGTCTAATAATTTATCTTATGTTTAGATAGAACATTATTGTTCAAGATTCATTTTAATGAAATGATATATAGATCTCTAGATTTTATCGGATAATTTAAGAATCGTTGCTTCTTTATACATAAGTAAATGGTTTGATGGAACAGATGATCCGAGAAAAACAGAGCATTTTCTTGCACTAGAAGGTGCAAAGGAAAGGCTTCAACTGTTCAAAGCAAACTTGTTAGAAGAAGGCTCTTTCGATTCAGCAATCGATGGTTGCGAAGGAGTTTTCCACACCGCATCACCATTCTATCACGATGTCAAAGATCCTCAGGTCTCTCTCCCACTCTATCTTTCTTACTCACATTCTCTGATTATCAAATCTTTCATTTTTGATTGATTTCTGTCTTTTTTATAAGGCTGAGTTACTTGATCCAGCGGTGAAAGGAACAATCAATGTTCTAAGCACGTGCTTGAAGACTCCCTCTGTTAAGAGAGTCGTCTTAACCTCATCTATAGCATCTGTTGCTTTTAATGGAATGCCTCGGACACCGGAAACCGTAGTTGATGAAACTTGGTTCGCCGATCCTGAATAGCTGCCAAGGTAAATAAAAATAAAAAATTATTTTTGCGTGATCTTAAAGTTATCACTCTGTGTTTTTCTTAAACACTCTGTTTTTCATTTTGTAAAAGCTATGGTATGTACTCTCAAAGACATTAGCTGAAAACGCAGCGTGGGAATTCGCGAAAGGGAACAATTTGCAGTTGGTTTCGATAAATGCGGCTGTGAGGCAACTTTGACTTTAGGACGTCTCCTTGATCACAAGCTGCTAACACACACACCAAGAATCAAGCTTAAAATAGGTCAAAGACACAAACTTTCTGCAGAACCAAAATAGAGGAAACAGAGCAGACAAAGGAACTGAAGAAAGATGAGACAAGACAAGCGATTGTTAAAACAGGTACACCCGTTAACAAGGGTGTTAGTCTGGGCCGGGATCTGTCTCCCGGAATCCACTAGATACAGAGGTTACAAGAGAGTTATCACTCACCTCAAAGCCCTTACAAGAAACTTCTCTCGGTTACTCTCTACCCCTTCCCCAAGAACTAAGTACAAGTTTATGCTGTATACAAAGCTCTCTTCTTTCTCACACACTTCTCTCAGTACAATGTAACAAATATATAAGACAAGCCCTTTAATGACCTAGATGCTTTGATGATTCCCTTTAGATGCCACTTCAATGCGCCTCTTGTACGGAAACAATCAATAAACTCTTCCTTAACTTCTAGTTCAATAAACGACACACTGCAGTTTGCTTTTGCCTTTATGAGCAGGAGCAAAATGGCTAGTCTCTGTGGTCCTGCACTGAGAGGACTCCACGTGGTCTTGTCCAATAACACACATTGTAACTTGTTCAACACGTCTTGGTCTTCTTCGTTCAAACATGATCTTCTTCACTAAGACTTAACAGCGGCAATGGTGATTGGTCCTCTTTGACAGCCAACGCTCAACACTAGCGCTGCTGCAGTACTGAGCTTGATCAAAGGTAAGGAAATGATAGAGTATTGGTTTGATTCAGACAATTACTAAGCTTGAACATTTTACATTTTCAGGAGCACAAACGTATCCTAATGCAACATTCGGGTGGGTTAACGTTAAAGATGTAGCGAACGCGCACATTCAAGCGTTTGACAATCCAGAAGCTAATGGAAGATACTGTTTAGTGGAAAGAGTTGCTCATTTCTCTGAAGTTGTTAACATCTTGCATGATTTTTACCCTGATTTTCTACTGCCTGAGAAGTAAGCCTGGCTTTTGATGTCAATAACAGAGCAGCTCTATTTTTCTTTTATACAAATTGTTAAAATTAAAGACAAGAACTTTGAAAGACTCCATTTTTTGCAGATGTGCTGATGAGAAAATATATATTCCAATATACAAAGTGTCTAAAGAGAAAGCAGAGTCTCTTGGGGTTGAGTTTGTTCCTCTGGAAGTTAGCATAAAGGAGACCGTAGAGAGTTTGCAAGACAAAGGGTTCATCAGATTTTGAGTTTCATCCCCAAAGAAAAAACCCAAACCAGAACCAGACTGTGCTCTGTTTGTGTTTTATTCCGATGTTAAATTTTAATTTATTTGTGGATTTTTTTTTTTAATTCAAATGTAGCGTGTGTTGCCTAAGATATTGTGGACAGTTTGTTTTGCATCATTTGAGTCTGATATTTGCAGGATGTTTCCTTTTTGTAGTGTTACAATATGCTATAGCAAATAATCAAATTCATTACATTTATCTCTTGCTTCTACACTTCGCACAACTTATTAGGGTCTACACATAATTAACATTTGTTTTAATTAGCAGTTGCATCTCTTAGACTCGTACCAGTAACACTCACTAAATTTTTTTAATTGTTGAGTTGTGATAATAGTTCTTTCAAACAATTTTGTTAGAAAAGTAAATTTACTAGTGTCTGCTAGTTGGATGATTGATTAAAGAAATGAATTTAATTATAAATGGTGATAAGATTCCACTCACTTCCATTTGGTGTATAATTGCCTAATAAGTAATGAGTCTATGTCAACCTCTGATATTGCGTCGTAATCGTTTTGGCTCTCTACACAAACGAGGAAATTATAAAAATTAAAATATAAATTTTAATAAATGAATATTAGTTCATAAACGTATTAGTTTTAAAACATCGATACTATCAAAATAGAAGTTATGATATTGATTTATGTGTGATTTTTTATAAAATAAACTATTACTATAAACTTTTTTATATGTATATCATTATTCATATATATTAAAATAGAAGTCATGATCTTGATTCATATGTGATTTTTTAAAAATGACTATCACTAGAAACTTTTATTATATGTATTTAATTAAGACTAATATTATATAGAATCTTTAAAATACTTTAACCATAATATTTTTTAATATCTTTTTATTTTGTTATAAAACATATTTATTTAAATTCTGACAAATATTTTAAAAGATTTTATAAGATCTTCATGTTCGATATTATCATTAAATACTTTTCACTAATTTAAAAATTAATTTGAAATATTATTATACATTAATATATTCAGTTAAATTTTAAAAATAAAAAAAATTATATCATGTTATATATTATAGAATTATAATCAATCATATTAAAAACATTATTTTATTGAGATAAGTGTAGTAAAATTGTATTAAATTGATAAATTTATATATTTTATTTTCATAAAAATCAAATATTTATGTTCCAAAATATAATATGTTGACAAGACGGGTTAACATTAGAAAACTATATAATAATGTATATAAATCAACATATATTTCATTAAAGCTAATAATATAAAATCTATATAACTACTTTGATCATGATATCTTTTTAATTTTAAATATAAATTAGATTTTGATCCGCCCTCAAAAAGGCGGTATATTTTTGTTTAAATTTTTCTCAAAAAAATTAATTTTTATATTTATGTTATTTTTAATAATATTTGCATTTTATATTTTGACATTAAAAAATTCATGTTTAATATAAATTTAATATAATTTATGGTAACTATATTGAATATGTCAAGTTGCACAACTATACAATTATGTCATATGCATTTCACAAAATATTTTTAAACTTTATTTCTGAAAGTTTGTAACATATTATTTTCTTAATAGTTACCTAACATAATTAGTCAATAATATTCCTACCCCAGAAACCAGACTCAAGATCGACCTAAAAATCAAAGTCTCTTACTCTATTAGATCTGACATATATATATGCTTGAATGTTCTTAAAAGTGTTATATCTGAAAACCAATATCAAATTATACCTGCATCGAAAATTGATCAAATTTCTTGAAAAATATTTGAAAATAATAATTTATAATATGTTTTCACTAACTTAATGTAGAATCACATTTATAATTATTTTTAATCGAATAACTTATTTCAAACCCATTAAACTAAAACTCGTAGAATATTTAAAATTAATGATACTTCCATAATAATATCAAATACACATTAAAATATACTCAGAATATAAATTAGATATTGGTCATATATTTAGGTACTAAAAATAATATGGTTACGATATAAATTTAGATGCCATCTAGATTCTGATCCACCCTTTCAAAGGACGGGTATATTTTTGTTTTAATTTTTTGAAAATTTTAGTTTTATATTTGTGTTTTTTTTTTTGAGAAATTTGCTCTCCTACCAAAAAACTTATGAGTAATTTGCGGTATACCAAAGAGAAAAAAAGATGTTACTGTTTAACGAGTTGTTTTACCCTCATACCCTTTCATCATAATCTCTCACCTGACCTTAACCAACAGGTAGCACCCACTCTTCTATGCGCTAGGAGTTGTAGATATAGTAGATACACCATATCTTTTGTGTCAGACGTTTCTGCATAGATATTCAAATCTTTGATCATCCAAATCTTTTGTGTCAGTCATTTTGTGTTTGACACAAAATATAGGTTGGCTTCAGTCACTTGACCGGCTACGATTGCAAATTTTGTGGATAAACAATAGATTATCCGGATATGATTATAAAGGAATGAGGGTTAAGAGATATGCAAGGGTTTGGGCTTACGAAATTGAAGTTTAGGATTTAGCTTAGTGTTTAGGGTTTAGTATTTAGGGTTTAGGATTTTAGAGTTTAGGGTTTAGAGTGTAGGGTTTAGGGTTTAGATTATTGGGTTAGGGTTTATTCGTTAGGTTTATAGTCAACCATTTGTTAGATGAGTAAAAGTTGATAAAAGACGTTAATTATAATTGTATCCGGCTAATCTAGTGTTTATCCACGAAATTTGCAATCGTAGCCGGCCAAGTGACTGAATCCAACCTATATTTATTTGTCGGGATATTGGATCAATACTAAGGGTTTAGGTCCACCGTAATGTAAGAGATTTGTGTTAAGGTTTAGGGTTAAGAGATATGCAAGGGTTTGGGTTTAGGAAATTGAAGTTTATGGTTTAGGGTTTAATATTTACGGTTTAGGGTTTAGGATTTAGGATTTAGAGTGTAGGGTTTTAGGTTTAGGGTTTAGGGTTGAGATTATTGGGTTAAAGTTTATTCGTTAGGTATATAGTCGACCATTTGTTAGATGAGTAAAACAGTTTCGGCTAGTTAACTAACACGTGTTATAGTGTCATACATACTATATAGCCAGCTATGAATTAATTTTAACGTCCTAAGTATATACTGACTGTCCATGTAGGTTGTTTACCGTCCAAGTAGATTTTATTAATTGTTTGTTTACAATTTGGTAATGGATATGGTTTTATTTGATATTGTTGGTTAAGGGTTTAGGTGTTACTGTTTATTGGTTAGGGTTTAGGGTTTACAGTTTATGGGTTGGTACTAGAGTTTAGTTTTTAGGGTTTAGTTTGTAGAGTTAAATTAGCCAGAAACATAATTTATTAACTTATTATTTTTAAAATGTTTATATCAACAAAGTCTTACTAACTGGTTAATAAATATAATAGATGTGCAACACATGTTTGTTAGCTGAGTAAACTATTTTTTTTACTTAAAGAGCAATTTTTTTGTGTTCACACAGGTGTTCGAAAAACTCTTTTTTTTAATTTAAATAAAAAATTTACCTAATTTGACAACATATTAGACAGGAAATATAGTCAAGTTAGCCTGAAACATAATTTCTTAACTTATTATTTTTATAATGTTTACATCCACAAAGTTTTAGTATCTGGTTAATTAATCTAATAGATGTGTAACACATGTTTGTTAGCCGGATATATCAACAAAGTCTTAGTAACTAGTTAATAAATCTAATAGATGTGCAACACACGGAGGTTCTACGGTCAATGGCTGAGAGATTCTCAATCAAAGACCCTACATACCTTCATTACTTCCTTGGCATTGAAGCAAAAAGAACACATAAAGGCCTTCACTTAATGCAGCGTCGCTACATCCTGGATTTACTGGCAAAACCGAACATGATCGATGCAACACCAGTATCAACTCCGCTTCATTCTTCACCAAAAATCACACTTAGCAGCGTCTCTCCACTAAAGGATGCAAGTCAATAGCATTCAATCGTAAAAAGAAGCTTGCAGTACTTAGCTTTTACCAGACCTGATATCACATATGCAGTGAATAGATTGTCCTAAATTATACACAAACCGACGGATGAACATTGGCAAGGAGCTAAGAGAACTCTGTGATATCTTTCTGGCACACCAACACTTGGTCTTTTCATCAAAGCTGATTCAACATTCTCCATGGATTTTCGGATGCGGATTGGGCTGAAAATACACATGATTATGTCTCAACAAATTCTATGTTGTCTACCTTGGCAGCAATCCAATCTCGTGGTCCTCTAGAAAAAAAAAGGTGTGGCTCGCTCTTCAACAGAAGCAGAGTATCGTGCAGTTGCAAGCATGACTTATGAGCTGAACTGGATTACGTCACTACTCACAGAGCTTGGCTTTAGACCTCCATCTATTCCGGTTGTGTACTGCGATAATGTAGGTGCCACATATCTATGTACAAACTAGGTATTTCATTCCAGAATTTAATATATAATACTTGATTATAACTTAGAAATCAGATTCAATCCGGTGTTCTCCGAATGGCTCATGTCTCAACAAGTGATCAACTAGCTGATGCACTCACAAAACCTCTCTCTCTACAACATGTTTAGTAAACAAGGATCAAACTTGGAGTCACTACAGTTCCTTCAATTTGAGGGGGCTTGATAAGACAACAAGATTAATTACATCTATATTTGTAAACTTGTATATTCTCCATTAATTTTTTTTTATTCTCCAAGATTGTATCTCCTATATATTGTATAGACCTCATTAGTAATAATCATCACATTCAATATTTTTAGCATATTCTCCATCAACCATATCAGTACTTCTAGTTCTAAATGCAAAATTGATTCTATTAGTCTTATTTTCAGTGTTCTCTTAATTAGATTTATCAGAGATGTCCGTCCAAACTCATCTGTATTCACCGTATCTGTAAAGGCTCCAATTTTCATAAATAAGAAGTGTACGATAGATTATAATCAAAAGAGGTTCTAAAATATGA